TTATGTTTGTGAGAACGCACCTGCACCAGCATTCCGTCACACACACACGAGGTACGTGGTTATTAAATTAAATACATAAGTTTGTTTGTTTGTGTGTTTGTTTGATGCAACTCTCAGCAATATTCCAGCTATATGGCGGCAGTCTGTAAATACATGAATCCGGACAAGACAATCCAGTGATCAATAGCACGAGTATTGATCAACGCAATTGGGATACGATGACATGTGTCAACCAATCCCGATCCCGTTAGTTGCCTCTTACGACAAGCATGGTTTGTTCTAGATCAATTCTAACCCGGATCGTCACGGGTTTTATGGATAACTTAAACACCTCCGTATACGTTGATATCGCACAGCTATATCGCTACAGTCTGGTTGCTCTGACAGTGTGCCCATTGTAAAGGTATGCCAAACAGTTCTTGGATAGCTTCATGTTATGTCTGTCCGGGATAGTCGCCTCGTTTGTGTTGGATCCCTGATAATACCCTGTAACCATCCCCCACTGTAACTGTGCGGCAGGCAGCCAGTATGGGGGTGATTCACTGGTATACGAGAGTAGATAACGGGTCGTGGATGGTCCGTGCAGCATGTGCATCTGTCATCAGACACCATGGCTTCACCAAACAACCCTTTTACTCACGTCACGACGCCCAGACTGATGCGCAGATAACTAACACTGGGTTCATTAATATCACGGAGGTTATCTGTTAATGCTGCCGTTGAAGATGGTGCTATATATGCACCACTTATACAGCTGTCCCGTACGTTGACTGTGGAACCCCGTTAGTTCAGAAACCTCTCCGTCCGAGCGATTACTGCGCATGCCTGCTGTGTCTTCACACTGGTTTATTGGGGAAAGTACCCCCGGGGTCCACTGCAAGTCACACAAATCCTGAATAGTCACCCACATGCTAATCACAGGAGTCAGTGACCTGTATCCATATACAGACTCTATCAAGACTGCAAGAATACGTAATACGTCGGCTTGTGCCATAAACTATAGGGCATTTGAATCCCAAATACTGACCTCCTGATGTCCCTTGAATACTAAATCCTGACCCCCTGATGTCCCTTCAATACTAAATCTTGACCCCCTGATGACCCTTCAATACTAAATCCTGACCCCCTGATGTCCCTTCAATACTAAATCCTGACCCCCTGATGTCCCTTCAATACTAAATCCTGACCCCCTGATGTCCCTTCAATACTAAATCCTGACCCCCTGATGTCCCTTCAATACTAAATTCTGACCCCCTGATATCCCTTCAATACTAAATCCTGACCCCCCCCCTGATGTCCCTTCAATACTAAATCCTGACCTAAATCCTGATGTCCCCCTGATGTCTCACAACAGATCAGCAATAGCGGTCGGCCATGTAATCTGTGAACTGTATATTATACACGGTGGTATGGGCGGGGTACTTCACTACCTACCCGTGAAGGTCCGGATTAGAATGAACCTTCAGTAACCCATGCTTGTCGTAAGAGGCAGCTAACGGGATCGGGTGGTCAGGCTCAATGACTTGGTTGACACGTGTCATCGGTTCCCAATTGCGCAGATCGATGCTCATGTTGTTCATCACTGGATTGTCTGGTCCAGACTCGATTATTTACAAACCGGCGTCATATAGCTGGAATATTGCTGAGCCGAGCGGCGTAAAACTAAACTCACTCACTCACTTCACTACCTAACGGGAGTGCCTATGCATGCGGCATATACATCAAGGTACATGGAGCGGATCTGAGTGACACTCGTTACAGGCTGGCTGAGTGGACGATTTATCTGAAACAGTTTTAACCTTTCAAGACACGTATTAAAGCAATACACGAAGGCCAATCCAATCAAATAAATCAATAAGTTTCAAATCCTCAGCACATCTTTCAACACAGCGCAGTAATGAGTGTAAGTTAATCTCGTGAACTAATGAAGACAAGAGTAGGTATCGACTCGCTGTCCAATGAAATATTCACTCAAGGCCGGTCATTAATTCTGTCACTCGTCCTGCTCGGCTTGAGAGTGTCATGGCACCATTGTGATGGTATTCCTGTGATAAATATTGTATAAGGTTGATGGTTCGCTCTTCAGCTGGAGCCACGGTATTGTTTGTTCGCCCTTAAGGTCTCTGTTGTGACAGAACAATACTTTCATTATTGATGAGACTACTCCAACCTGGCCCAGATACCCATTGAGAAATAGATCCGGGTTACGTGCATTCACAGATCATCATGTGACTAAGCGTTGACTACCACACATGGGGATACCAGGATAAAGGGTAACCGAGCAACCTTTTCTGGTAGTAAAAGACATTTGTGGTTTGCTTGTTTTGTTTGACATGAACACTAAACGCCGACATATCACTTCAAATAGTTGTATGCAATCTCTCTCGTTATTACGTCAGTTTTCATCTATATGTAAATTATTTTGGTATTCCGACACTCAGCAATATGCCAGCCATATGGCGGCGGTCTGTAGATAATCAAGCCTAGACCAGACAATCCAGTGATCAACAGCATAAGCATCGATCTACGCAATTGGGATACTATGACATGCGTCTACCAAGCCTGACCGCCCGATCACCTCAGTCGCTTCTTACGACAAGCAAGGGTTGCTGAAGACCAATTCTAACCCGGATCTTCACAAGTGGATTGGGTGGTAATGATCGGTGAGTTGGTTCATTGCATACACAACACCAGCGTGGAGAGATGCTCCTTATATCAGTCACTAGTTGGTCAGTTCCAGATGATTTTACAGGTCCCATTCATACGTAATACTGCTGTATATTAGCAAACTACTGTAATGATGTGAATACTGGCGATAGTCGTCTAGGGTCTCGCGCTTCGAACCAGCCAGGGTTTGATAGTTCTGGAATCAAATCCCACATTCGGCCTTAGTATCATTCTTTGTCTCACAGCCCCTGTTAGTCTGTCGTACAGACCCTGAAGTAAATATATCCAAGAAAGCCCACGCAAGTCTAGAAAATGTGGCAAGTTTAGATTTCCTCAGCTTCTGAAAATGAAGAAAGTCTCAGGGCTCCTTTTCCTTATTTTTTTTTACTATGAACTTTTTTTCAGTAAAATATGTTCATTTCAGAGACTAGTTGTTAGTCTAAGCCCTTGACAGTGCTTTGTGTGGCCAGTGTGGTAAATAGCCACGACATCATTTTAGAAGTTTCGCCATCATTAAGCTGGCACGTTTGCGTCTTTACCGATGTGCCTCAGAGCAATGATGCACCATATTTACCCACATATCACTAAAGAATGTAAACTATCTGCCGTATCGTGATCGGGAAACGTTTGCACTAACCTAACTTGACCCCATATTCCAAGCACGTCACTGCCAATACCTGTATTACGCATAAGCCCATACGTGTACTATGGAACGAGGTTCAGACCAAGTTGACGAGTATGAACGACTCCAGTTGTCAAGAAATTAATTTCTTCCTGCATTATTTATGAATTAAAAATGGACCCTTTATCACTTTGACATGAACACTAAACGCTGACATAGAGTCGTATCCAAACTCACTCGTTATCACGTAAGTTTTAATCTATATGTAAATTATTTTTGTTGTATCTGTTACTATTCCTTTAACACAAACGTTATTGCTTTCCGCGTCTAATGAGTTAAGTTGGACAGATCTGTTGAATTACAGTTGCCATGGCACCCAATATGTGTCGAATGTAAGTATATCTCCAATATCCTGTTCAGGGCAATGTGGGCGATCTGGTCACAGAGATCTCAACTGGCAACAAGCCGCTCTCTTCACCCTCACCCTTCAGTGTAAACATTACCATGAGTTTATGGTACACTGTTAAACTATTACACTACACAACGCCACGCCACACCACACCACGCCACGCCACGCCACGCCACGCCACGCCAAAACCACACCCACTCCACATCATAATACACCATACCTACGACCACTTACTTTCTCTCTAACCCTACCCCTTCATTTTCACTTGAATCACTATATTTTTATTCGTTCTTCTCTCTTTTTGTAGTTAAACAAATTAAAATGTCGATTGACCATATTAAACAGATTCTTATGAAATGTATAGTCTGTTTGCAGTGACTTTAAACAAAAAAGTAAATCAAATAAAGTGAAATTAAGATTGCGAATCCTCATAATTTTACCTTGCCAATTGAACATTTAAATCTCAAAATTTTATTCAAATTAGGATAAAAGTTGTTTAACAAACGATCATAGATTCAAATCGCTATTATTGGTTTGTATTACAAGGGGGTAAGCGCAGTAGTTGGAACAGTGAAACAAATGCACGTGTGGTACGTGAAGAGCGTTAACTTATAACAAACCTTGTCGTTTTCGGTGTTTCATTTGATGTGCATACCCCATTGTAATACAAACCAATAATAGCCATGTGAAACTATGATCGGTTGTTAAACAACTTTTATCCTAAGTCGAATAAAATTCTGAGATTTAAATGTTCAATTGGCAAGGTAAAATCATGAGGATTCGCAGTCTTAACTTCACTTTTTTTGTTTTACTTTTTGGTTTAAAGTGACATTCATCGGTACGTTTTCACTGCAAACAGACTATAATGTGTTACATATACATTGACATATAGGATATCTTAAACTCAGGAATCACGAGACCTCCGTTGGTCAATATATTCGTACATATCCAATTCTGATTAGAACTTTCCTTCATTAAGCTATGAACTACACACCCTTCTCTACAGGAATATGAAACCGTCCACTCACACATCAGTTAAACTCCGTTGCCGATTTTCGTGAAGACGGACAGGCACATGTTTTAGGTTTCTGTTGTTCTAAACTGGATTTTACAATCACCAACGAAATATCCCAGGCAGGAAACTGTTGTATCCTTGAATGTCGGTACATGTTTTCGGTGCTAATGTCCTGAAAGTCAAGTAAAATTTGGCATGCTTCCCAATTAGTGTCAAGTTATGAACATTGAAAATGTATAGTCTTTCTGCACAAATTGTGCATATCAGATATCCATCCAGAACGGTCCATGAACCCACAGGTTTCCGACCATGACTCAAGACACATAGTCAGCACAAGATCTCAGCTCGAAAACAAGACACACCCAGGTCAAGAACAAGACACACCCAGATCGAGAACAAGTCACACCAAGATCGAAAACAAGTCACACCAAGATCGAGAACAAGTCACACCCAGATCGAGACCAAGACACAGCCAGCTCAAGAACAAGACACACCCAGATCGAGACCAAGACACACCCAGATCGAGACCAAGACACACCAAAATCGAGAACAAGTCACACCCAGATCGAGAGCAAGAAACATCCAGACCGAGACAAAGACACGCCCAGATCGAGGCCAAGACACCTCTAGATCGAGACCAAGACTCGCCCAGATCGAGACCAAGACACACCAAGCTCAAGAACAAGACACCCCCAGCTCAAGAACATGACACACCAAGCTCAAGAACAAGACACACTCAGCTCAAGAACAAGACACACCCAGATCGAGACTTAGTCACACCCAGATCGAGACCAAGACACACCCAGATCGAGACCAAGACACATCCAGATCGAGACCAAGATACACCCAGATCGAGACCAAGACACATCCAGATCGAGACCAAGATACACCCAGATCGAGGCCAAGACACCTCTAGATCGAGACCAAGACACGCCCAGATCGAGACCAAGACACACCAAGCTCAAGAACAAGACACACCCAGCTCAAGAACATGACACACCCAGCTCAAGAACAAGACACACCCAGCTCAAGAACAAGACACACTCAGCTCAAGAACAAGACACACCCAGATCGAGACTTAGTCACACCCAGATCGAGACCAAGACACACCCAGATCGAGACCAAGACACATCCAGATCGAGACCAAGATACGCCCAGATCGAGACCAAGACACATCCAGATCGAGACCAAGACACGCCCAGATCGAGACCAAGACACACCCAGCTCAAGAACAAGACACACCCAGCTCAAGAACAAGACACACCCAGCTCAAGAACAAGACACACTCAGCTCAAGAACAAGACACGCCCAGATCGAGACCAAGACACACACAGCTCAAGAACAAGACACACACAGCTCAAGAACAAGACACACCCAGATCGAGAGCAAGACACACCCAGATCGAGACCAAGACACACCCAGTTCAAGAACAAGACACACACAGCTCAAGAACAAGACACACCCAGCTCAGGAACAAGACACACCCAGATCGAGACCAAGACACACCCAGCTAAAGAACAAGGTATACCCAGATCGAGACCAAGACACACCCAGTTCAAGAACAAGACACACCCAGCTCAAGAACAAGACACACCCAGCTCAAGAACAAGACACACCCAGATTGAGACCAAGACACTCCCAGCTCAAGAACAAGACACACCCAGATCGAGACTAAGTCACACCCAGCTCAAGAACAAGACACACCCAGATCGAGACCAAGACACATCCAGATCGAGACCAAGATACGCCCAGATCGAAACCAAGACACATCCAGATCGAGAACAAGACACGCCCAGATCGAGACCAAGACACACCCAGCTCAAGAACAAGACATACCCAGCTCAAGAACAAGACACACCCAGATCGAGACCAAGACACACCCAGATCGAAACCAAGACACACCCAGTTCAAGAACAAGACACACCCAGCTCAAGAACAAGACGCACCCAGCTCAGGAACAAGACACACCCAGATCGAGACTTAGTCACACCCAGCTAAAGAACAAGACATACCCAGATCGAGACCAAGACACACCCAGCTAAAGAACCAGACATACCCAGCTCAAGAACAAGACACACCCAGCTCAAGACCAAGACACACCCAGATCGAGACCAAGACACACCCAGTTCAAGAACAAGACACACCCAGCTCAAGAACAAGACACACCCAGCTCAAGAACAAGACACACCCAGATCGAGACCAAGACACACCCAGCTAAAGAACAAGACACACCCAGATCGAGACCAAGACACACCCAGCTCAAGAGCAAGACATACCCAGCTCAAGAACAAGACACACCCAGCTCAAGAACAAGACACACCCAGCTTAAGAACAAGATACACCCAGATCGAGACCAAGACACATCCAGCTCAAGAACAAGACACACCCAGCTCAAGAACAAGACACACATCCAGCTCAAGAACAAGACACACCCAGATCGAGACCAAGACACACCCAGCTCAAGAACAAGACACACCCAGCTCAAGAACAAGACACACCCAGATCGAGACCAAGACACACCCAGCTCAAGAACAAGACACACCCAGCTCAAGAACAAGACACACCCAGATCGAGACCAAGACACACCCAGCTCAAGAACAAGACACACCCAGCTCAAGAACAAGACACACCCAGCTCAAGAACAAGACACACCCAGCTCAAGAACAAGACACACCCAGCTCAAGAACAAGACACGCCCAGATCGAGACCAAGACACACCCAGCTCAAGAACAAGACACACCCAGCTCAAGAACAAGACACACCCAGCTCAAGAACAAGACACACCCAGATCGAGAACAAGACACATCCAGCTCAGATCGAGAACAAGACACACCCAGCTCAAGAACAAGACACACACCCAGCTCAAGAACAAGACACACACACACACCCAGATCGAGAACAAGACACACCCAGATCGAGACCAAGACACAACCAGATCGAGAACAAGACACACCCAGCTCAAGAACAAGACACACCCAGATCGAGAACAAGACACACCCAGATCGAGACCAAGACACACCCAGCTCAAGAACAAGACACACCAGATCGAGACCAAGACACACACAGCTCAAGAACAAGACACACCCAGCTCAAGAACAAGACACACCCAGCTCAAGAACAAGACACACCCAGCACCAGGACCCAGCACCAAGACACACCCAGCTCAAGAACAAGACACACCCAGCTCAAGAACAAGACACACCCAGATCGAGACCAAGACACACCCAGCTCAAGAACAAGACACACCCAGCTCAAGAACAAGACACATCCAGCTCAAGACACACCCAGCTCAAGAACAAGACACACCCAGTTCAAGAACAAGACACACCCAGCTCAAGAACAAGACACACCCAGCTCAGGAACAAGACACACCCAGCTCAAGAACAAGACACACCCAGCTCAAGAACAAGACATACGTACACATCTTACGACTAAGACACAATCCTAGATTCAGACCAAGGCACAGACCAAGCTCGAGACCAACTTGCAGATCCATCTCAAGACCAACACACAGATCCAGCTCGAGACCAAACCATAGAAACAGATCAAGACCAAGACACAGTTCCATCTCAAGACCAAGACACAGTTCCATCTTGAGAACAACACACAGAGCCAGAGGTTCATCTGGATCGTCCACCTGGAGATCCATTACAAGGTACAGACACGGTCTCGGGGCAGTCTCAGAACCAATCACAGACACAGACACGCCACTTCCGAACCAATCCTAACACCCCTGCCCTAGCCTCTGTGGAAGAGTTCCCTAATTCTCACCCCCTCTTCTGTCAAATACTCTTTTCTAACTTAACCTTGTACCTCCATCTCCGATTATCTCGCCCACTCCCCGATGCTCCGACCTCCTTAGGTTCTGTCCCGAGGATATGATTGGGTTTCAAAAGAACCTCTGACCTTTTCATGTGGGGATGATGTATATGTTTTGATTGGGGCCTGACATTAGTGTGATCACCCGGGACCCAGATGGTTGGAATCAAACGGACACATGGCTTACACTGCGGCGAGGTAGCTGAACACACCATGGGTTATAGCTAATAATGACGTCAAACGTTAAGTGGCCTGTCACCGCAGAGTAATGATTAATAACTTCATACAGGAGTTTTGGCGTTTTCTGATATTAACAATGCTTAAATTTACACACGGTCTGTTTTAAGAAGGCTTAGGGCATACATTAAGCCGATACAATAACTGCCAAACATCCGATCTGAAGCCTTCAAGATATGTCAGTACAGATAGGATTTTGACACAACGTTCGAAAATGTGTTCGCTTTATATATAAAATATAAAATCTTAAATCTAATACCAGGATGTGACATAAATACAAATTCGAGACCTGAATGTTCGACCAGACCAAGAAATTCACTCGAAACAAACGTAAACTCATTCAAGTTATATGATCAGTTTAAGTGGATGTGTTAAAGGCTAACTGCCAGAACGGTTTGTACCTCATGTGGTGAGGTTATAAAGATAAACAATAGCTCTGCAGGCATTGCATGTATTACAGCTGGCGTACGTATATGTATATGTTCTGTGAAGAACCAACAGGAGTACTACTGACAGGAGTGCATAGTGTTTTAGAGTTGACGACGGAAACAACTGTGTAACGTTCATGTTTAACGCTTTTATGAGGTGATGTCTGTTTTGTTTATGGAAACAACTGATTTTGTTTCGTTTTTCCACTACCCATCGATCAAATCTGCAATTATTATAACGCGAAAACCGTATGGGTGGTGTAGCGATTATGGAGGCAGCTTGTGGCAGGATGCCAGCAACTAAGGAAGAGCATCAGTGCCACAGCCAAAACAATGTTTATCATCTACTTGGGAGTTCATCTGTGTAGATGATACTTACATCAATGTAGAAGATAAGTTTCATGTATGAAGAAGCTAAGTACCATGTACATGTGATATTACAGTAGTGCGTATCTACTCAAACCGTAATATTGCATTATGAATTTGCGATCCTTGTTGGATATATATCATGCAAATATGATATGTTTAAATGTTTAGCAGTACGGTGGTCGTATAGTTTCATTTGGCCTTTTCAGCGTTTGATGAAATTATGTCGAACTATCAGCGTTAAAAGAAACAACCTCAAATACAAGCATTAAACAAAACATCTACATGAAGAGTATTGAATGTTGTATTGAACGTTGTATTGGATGTTGTATTGGATGTACCTCAATAAAGACATACCAAGGTTGAAAGCGCAAAAACGCGGTCATTGTTAAGTAAGCCACGGCTTACATAAAGCAGACAGGGAACTATTGTTTCTTGAGAAATTATGGTTACCAAAGTCTATAATTCGATAGTTTCTACTACGTAAGTTATACTATCATGTACGTACATATAAGTAGCATCTACGTGGATGAAAGTATCTTCGACGTACATGGTGCATGTTTTTAGACAGTGGCACTAATACCCTTCCATAAGTCTTGTCTATTAGCCAAAGGATTCTGTTTATACTGGCAGCCGTATCACAACCATTTGTAATGAACAGCTAATTACTGAACAACTGTGCCAACAGTTAAACTGAAAAACTGGATTTCACCCAATGCTTGGGCTCAAACAGGTTCGTTAAAGATACAACGCAAACATGTTCCGTCATAAACACTTTTGTGTCTGTTAAAAGGCTATTCTGTATTCCCTATATATATATTCGGAGTAAAAACGTTAGTGTAGTGTTATGCTTAACAGACTGTTAAATCATGAGAACATCGTATTGCTTCGTTTAGCAGAGATTTCTAGCCTGTCATACAGACCCTGAAGCAATATATCCAAGAAATCCCACGCAAGTCTAAAAAATGTGGCATGTCTAGATTTCCACAGTTTCAGGAAAATGAAGAAAATCTCAGGGCTCCTTTTCATTATATTTTATTTTTTTCACTTTGAGCTTTTGTTTCTGTAAAGTATGTTCATTTCAGAGACTAGTAGTTAGTTGTGGTTGTGTATGTACTGTACACTAGGGGTTGTGACAACACTGAAAGAGTCTGCACACAAAGTTGACTCCAAGGTTTGTACACCCGGTTACAGGTGGGCTCGATCCCGTCACCTCAAACTCGCTGGATCACTAGCCTGGCGCCTTAGCCAGCTCGCCCACCGCGCCCACCGCGCCCCACATGGTGCCTGCACCCACGCACCTGCACAGCGCCAGTAAGTGACCGGATGTACGGAAGTTCACGAGTAAATTGTAACCGTCTTCACCTCTTGGTCTGTTTTTCTATTCATTCGTTATATGTATCACACTACTTATGAGTCACAACGACACTATGGGCCGTTGTTAGTGTGATCATAGTGTGTTATGATACATAATGTACCGATTTTAAAACGCGTGAAATAGTAAAGTCTGAGAGGTTTCAGCCAGTAGGACATGCGTTTACCAATATGTTCATTATCAACGCTTTAGAATTGGCAGAGAACTAAATAGTGTAGAGGCGAGAAGTTTGATTTTTTTCTTTTCGAATTCTGATAACCAGGCGAGTTCAGTTGCGCCTCGTTCCAGATTACGTAATTGACGTTAAAACTTTCTGAGATCTTTGTGATTACATTGGGAGGCTGCTTAAAATGACTTTTGTAATCTGACGGGCAAAAGAACGTATACCCTTTAAAAATGGATTTTACCAAAAAATTACAAATGTTATTAACAGTCGCCGAAACACAGCAAACGGAAGCTCCAAAACACAAATACCTAGTTCTTGTTGGTTTAATTTGTAGCCATCGTAAAATTTGGATTACACATTTTTTCGACCGGCAGTGTATTTTACAGTGCCGACAAACAACGTGTGTTTTCAGATTTATATTTCTTGATGTTCGGATATTTCATTTGCAACTGATGGCCTTTGCCGGCTGTTCCGGGGTTCCAAATGAAAACACATGATTTTTATTGCCTAAATGGTATCCATATGACGTCAAACAACGGCCTGTACTACGTCAACAATGTTGCAGGAATCTCGTGCTTCATGCGGGTTTTGTCTGGGGGGTTTTGTT